TTTGGCAATCTCCTTAAGTAGCCTATCAAGGGAAGAGACCTCACTCATATCTTAATTCATACTTTTGCTCTTTGTATGATGGACCTACGAAAAACCAAATTCATTGTAATAAACAAACCATTAAAGTCGTGTTAGTAAGTTGGAATTAATAGTGCTTAATTTGTTGCTTTTGTTTAACTACAAGGCACAAAATTTAGAGAAGAAGCAGCTTGAAAGTCAGACCCGCATTTGGACGCAACCATTATAAAGGCCCTCGACTTCTTTCTAAAATGAGCAGATACAGTGCTTAATCTAACTACACACACTTGATAAGAGGGACTAAGAATGCTTTTGTACGCAGACATAGCTAAAGTAATATGGGCGCTTAAGAACTTTAACTCGGTCTTATAATACAGCCATAGCCTTCCCTGGCGTTTCCTCCGGAGTCAGTTTGCTGACAATCGTTTTGTATGACACCTTAGGAGAAGAGAAATGGTAGACCGAGATCAGGGAACCAATTGATTTACAAGCACGATCTAAGTAGCGTCCAACCATCCTTGTAGTTCGCCAATCGATTTTATACCACACCTCTGACCCACAACTTCGATTAAATCAACACATTTGATGCAGCACTCAAGCAAACGAATCAAGAATGGTGAGTGACTACTTCACGCAAGTAAAATATGCAAGACCTCTCCGTAGCGTCCCGAGACTTCCTACCCGGTAGAAGAGGGCAGTAAATGAGGCTGAACACATGCATTCCGAAGGTATCAGATTAAATAGACCTGAGCATGGCCCGAAGGCCACCTCACGAGTACAAGGGCCAGAACAATCTTAAAGTGACCACCGAACGTCGGCTAGTAACATAAGCAAAGCATTACACTCTCAAGGCACGAGATACCGAAACAGTAGCTATAAACCGTTGACTCTTTAAACGCGTAGTAACCAAATCCGTCTATAACGATCAGGGTCCGTGTTTTGAATGTCGAATACTTGTCAAGCTGCACACGCCGTTTAGGATTCTTAAGACATACACAATGCTTGGACATCTTTAGTGTAGCTGCAGGCCGAAAGAACGAATGTTACCCTTGATATACTTCTGATGAGTTTTAACTAATGTTCACGGCGCAGAAATTGAGATTTGCACATAGGACATACACGCCTCGCGTGCCTGGCCGATGTCCATACTTCGACCAAAGTCACGCCCAACAAGATATTAGCGGTCCAAAATGAAGGTTTTCTCTAACACTTTATACCCAATGGGAAAGTGGCGACTGATATCGCTATTTAGTGAGACAAAGGTCCAGAGGGACATTTACAGACTGCAAACACTAGATGAATGTAGCTGTATCGTTAATTACCGGAAATTTTGCCATACCTGGACTAGGAATCATTTTGTTAAACAAAGGGGCTTCCACCAAATAAATTCCTGCCCAAAATGCCGAACGTTAAACCCAGCGGCTCTTTACCGGCATTGTTATATATGGAAACGAAATGTGCGCAATGGCAAATTAAAGAAAACGTCCGAACCCGAGTAAAATCTTACCTGGCTGGCACTAGAAACGGTGCCCTATTTAGGAGGGACAATGCAATACAAATCGTTTATTCAAACTTTCCTTTTAGGTGTTGTAGGTAGTTCCGATCTAGAGTAGTTTTGTAATACGCATTGTTTGAAATCTCCTTTACAAGTGAAAGGCAGATAACCAATTAAATACCCTGTTCTCTACCTACACTCCTTGTTTGGTATAGTTCTCCCTAGTATGTCCAAGGGGCCTCCTTGGGAAGACATTCTTTCAAGGAAATGCAAAGAAAGGTCTACGTGGCTTTGGAAGAGGAAGTTTCCACTCCTAATTTGGTATCAGACCAGATATTTTTCATGGCTTTTTCATACTACATCCTCCTTCCCTACTTCCACGCCTACTAAAACATCTCAAGCATGAGAGACTATTGGAAAAATTGTCAAGAAGGCTGCTGAGTAGGACGACACAGAGGCTACCCACTGCAACAAATGCGAATGGTACATGTCGTGGCTGGGAGCATTCACCGCATTCACACGTTCCACCGTCAAGCATTTTACTGGAAAAGTGACCCTTGTCATGAAATATCCAAGAAAGCTTCATTTTCGAGTTTCCTCAACCATGACTGCGCAATGATAGCGGCAAAATGCTAATTTTAGAAAATGTGCTGAGCTCCATATTACTTTTTACGTCTTAAGACTCCTTTTTTGGTAGCCGATGGTATGCTTCTTGGGCGAAGGCTTAGGTTTTATCAGAAAATATAGAATTCGGGAGTTAGCTTAACCTGAATTCAAGCCCAAATATCGAACGCAAGATGAATACCAAAGCCACCGCTACTTATACAGGCAGTCGTGTAAGGAAAGTATTCCACCGGTATTATAACTACAGTAGGGCGAAGGAAAGAAGTTTCCCAGTCCGATCCACATCCGCTCTTTTACATGTATTGGCGACTAGGTAAGGTGTAGTACTCGAGTCAAAATGACGTACTTTGTAAAATAGATGAGTATTTGATTTTTCGGCATGACATACAGGTAAACCCAACTAAATAATTCAGTGCATAAAACTAGGAATCCATGAAAACCTAAAAAAGCTATAACACCAGCTCACAACGTATTCAGTAACGACAGAATGACAATAAGGCAGTCATAATATAAACTTGGGATTTTGCACTGAAGGTGTTTCCCAAACTACTTTCGTTGCAATTTATTAATTGGCTGATGGTAGCGGTTGCCTTCACTCAGTTGTGTATATTGCCGGACCAGTGTTTTAAGCACTTCCTAGCCTGTATAAGAAGTCAGTAAGTGCAGCTGGATACATGTATTCCGAAGACGACAGGGCAAATGGGCCTAGGCATGGCCCGAAGGCTAGCCCACGTGTACAAGGACCAGACAAATCCTAAAGTGACCGCCGAACTTCGCGTGGCTACATATACAAAGTATTGCAACCATCTTTGTATTCCATTAAAATTAAAACAATTAAATGCAATACTGTGCTTATATGGCCACCTGATGTGTGGCGGTTACTTTAGTATTCGTTTTGCCCTTGCACACGTGAGCTGACCTTTGGAATATGCCATGGACCCACCCCCGTCGTTCTCTTGAAACAATTATTCTGCCCAACGTGATGCCTACTTTACCTAATGGGAAGTCTCGAGCGCTACACTGATGACAGCATAAGACGAATTCAATACTTACAACAAATCTTGTCCCTATATCTACCGCTTGGAACGTGTACCTACAGTGCGGAGAAAGCTCATTTGGAATAGGTAGGAAGAATTAAGAATGAAGTCTGCGTTCAGCTCCACCTTGCTCCCCGTGTTCCAGAGACACGGTGTTAATGAATGAATAAAAACTGAAGCGCTAATAATCCAGAGAATTTTCCTATCAGAATTCTCCCTACCACATCCGCGTACAGATGTCGGAAATGACACAGTAGCGTCCAGAGACTTCCAACCGATTAGAAAAAGGTATTAAATGGAGCTGAAAATATGCATTCAAGGAGGAGAAAACAGGTCAATTTTGAGTATGGTGCGAAGACTAGCCCGCGCGTACTAGGATCAGACGAATGCCAAGGTAACCGCCAGAGGGCAGGCGGTCGTAATGCTTAGTTATGTGACTACCGGATGTTTGCCGGTCACTTTGGAATTTGTCTGGCCCGTGTACACGTGGGCTGGCCTTCAGACCATGCTCAGGCCCTATTTGCCTTGCCATCTTCGGAATACATGTATTCAACCTCACTTATGCCTTCTTCTACCTTATAGGAAGCCTCGGGGTGCTACAGTGTTCACACAGACACATACGGAATTGTGTTCGATCCAATCTTGACCAGACAACAGATGAATGCGACCGTGATTCGAGCTGTCAGACCAAACGCAACTCCAGATCCAATTATAGCTGCTGAGGAGACCACGCAACACTGCTCAATGTTATGGCGGCTGAAGACTGGCGCTGGTGAATTGTGAGAGTTTCCCCGTGCCACCGGATATGTTGTTATGGCTGGCGCGGTGGACGTATTAAGGAGGGCGTCGAGAACGTGGCATAAAAGAGGAGAGGGACAGTGTTGTATTATGTGGTATCATGATTAAGTTGGTCTCTAGATGGGAGAGGCGGGAAGTCAAATCGGAACGCAAATTCGGTGCGTGAGGGTAGACAGGCAGGCCCGGCAAGCACAGTAGTTTGGTCATGAGAAAAAGTGATGTCTGGTAGTTACTTTAGCACTAGTCTGGACACTGGATACCTGGACTGGCATTCAGGACAAGTCAAGGCCTGTTCCTTTCTTCGCCTTCTAGAGAATAAGTATCCTTCTAGTCGCGGTGGTTTCTTCCATTTTCTTAGGGCTTTATTTGCCTTATTTACAGTTACAAACATAGTTTTGGGCACAGCGTCTCGAAATTTTTCACAGATTAATAGAAGCAGTATGGGAACTGAATAAATGTATTGCAAGAACAAAGAAATTAGGCCTGGAAGTGGCCCGAGGACTGGTCGATGCTACAAAGTCAGACTAATCTTAGAGTAACCGAAGGACATAAGGTGATCACATATACAAACTATGAAATTGAGGTTAACAAAGATATTTTTAAATAGCTTGAATTTATTGCATTTTCAATACACTGAACTTGATTAATATAAGATCGGCATATCTTCACCTAACAATGATTTAAAATTAAGGCAAGAATTAAGCAATAAATAACAGTTTAATAAGATTTTTCCACACCAATGTAACAATGCCATTGATTACGTTTTAATCGATTGTATCACACAAACTCGATACAAATTTCCGCCCTTGTTTTGTGGGTCGCAGGTGTGTTGCGTGTTCGTTTATCTCATTTTTAATGTAACATAATGAACTTCGTACTTTGAACTGTGACCATTTGTACTTGATGGTAGTGTGGAACTGCTATCGTTATTTATTTTTTATCGATTCCGAAGTCCTTCGAAACCAAAAATCACCCAACTGCATTTGTAATTCTATGCATGTGTATTGTGCATCTACTTATTTGTAAAGCATGTGCCTGGTTTTATATGCTACGTGGCTTTTGGGAAGTCAGATTACACTTCAATTTTTCCTCTAGTGTCAATGACATCGTCGTCTTTTGATTTCGCTGGTCAAAGTCGTATTGCACAGCTAGCGCGCACGTATTGGCTCTCTCCTATCGACTCCGAGGGTCGCCATATTAAAAAAAATGTGTTCAACGATGATCTTGTTGAAAGGATTTACCTTGAAGATATGATTAGTTTTGGGTTTTCTCATCGTCGATGCATGATGCTTGAATTAGCGCAGTATCTTGAATGTTGGTTGTGGCCAAACTTTGATGAAAAGAGTGGCAGAGCGCATGTCATCTCAATATGTGTCATGGTCAATGAGAAGGCTCGTGAGCGTGTGCCCGTCTGGCAGGTAATATTCTCTATGTACACATTTTGTACTTGCAATAGAACAACTAAAGTGTGAGCTTCGTGTTTTCCTTTTTCCTAGTGCTTCCATGACAATCCTGATCAGTTCGGTCTATTGATTTTTCGCGTGATCGAGATGCTTGTAGATGACCCCATTGACATAAGTCTTCTCTTCCTATCAGACGACACAATGCTGGCGAAGAATCGTGAGGATCTCCGCAAACGTCTAACAGAACATATTGTTCTTATTACCTTTCTATCCCATTGCCTCACTAGTTTGGCAGAGGTCGGCGTTTTGCGCCGTTACTTGAAAGACATTTATTCTCTAGCAGTTTGGCGGCATCTTCAGTCGCAGCGGTTGGAAAAGGAGTTGGCAGCGGGGCCCCCTCGCTATCGAAAACTTCTGAAAAAACTAGAGAAACACGCTGCTGAGCTAAACGAGAAAGAGTCTGAAAGGTTGACCAGACAGCGTGCTTTTGTGGCCAATTTCGTCGACAAATTCTTGGCCATTCTAGAAAATTTGCCCGATAATAAGGTTATGAATTGGCACTCTGTTAGATACAATTTTTGCGTTCGTGAAGGGTTTTGGGCTTTTAGCAATCTGGATTTGTATTTGCTTCTTTACCGTTAGCAATGTAAGGCATCTTTGGATGGCTTGTCGTGGTTCACTTGCTAACATTCCTCTACTTTTTGTAGGAACTTGATCCCCTTCTCGCTCACTACTTGCACAGAGGTCTACTGCTTTTAATCGATTTATCAAGTATGTTGATGACTCGCCGTTTTCTTATGATTTTGATGGATGATCGCCATACGGTGGTTCGCTGTCAGAATTGCTCCCTCTATAAAGCAGATGGGAAGAAAGAGGGTTGCTTATTCTCTGAACTTGTCGACATCTTCGCCTTTTATGCTCAGTTCCAAGTAGATTCAACTACAGGGGAAGCGGTGGATGCAACAGAATTAGATCGGAGGTTAGTTCCTTTTTATGTTCTGATCTTGGATTTGAAGGCGCAATTCCAAATAGATGAATTTACTACACGAAATTTCTTCCTTGCATAAAAACCGAGGTTTTCGCGTTTTTCAAGAATGCAGACCTCGAGGAATCACCTTCGCCCAAATACCAACTTCTATGTTTACTCGTTCTTTACTGTTTTTCCTACAATTCTTAATGAGGTCATATGTACGAACCGAGCGTTAGCCGCTTTTCAAAACTGCTTTACGTAGAAAACTACTTATGACCCCAACTTGATTGTTAAAAAATGAGGCACTGCTGCTTATTACTAGCATGGCTCTTGGCATTTCTCACTCCTCTGTATAGACTTTATCTGTTTCTTGTCTAGTTACTTCTTACTTGGAATTGCAATAATCTTCTTGAACTTTTAGGCATTGTCTTCAATTAAACAAACTCCAACTGTCGGTGTTTTCAGAGAGTCGAGAAGGTATATTTCGCGACTTCGCAGTAGCGAATCCGGCTGCTTACGAGTCTGGGGAGAAGTTGGCTGATTTTTTGCAAAAACTATCAACAAAACAACTGTATAATTTGGCAGCTAAATTTCACTTTTTCCCCTCAACTCAAAAAGGACAGGATGGAAATGATAGTGATAGTTCCTTATCAGCTGTAAAAAGACGGAAGACCAGCCAAAATCTAATGGTCTTCCCGCCACAATTTCCCAGCACGCTTTTCCAGAAGGACATGCTTATCAAGGTAACGCTTGTACTGCTTCAAGTCGTTTAAACTTAATTTTGTTATTATTTGTCTCATGGTATTCTTTTTGAAGATTGAGCTCATATTCGTCTTTTTGCCTAGCTTCTAGTTTATCACTTTGCGATTCGCGAATCTCATCTTGCCCAGATGAACAGTGCCCCTTTATATCCTACAGAGGAGCTCCTTTGGAACGGGAATCTAGTCCCGAGTGAATTTTTCTCTGGCGAAGAGTGTCTAGCTTTACCCAAGCTCGGTCTGCAGTTTTTGACTCTGCAAGACTATTTGATGCGTAATTTCACCCTTTTTCGACTAGAGTCAACCTTCGAGATTCGACAGGTATGAGTGCGTTGCGCTGAGGATGTTTAGAGGTTTGGCTCTATCGTACTGGGTAATGCTTTTTTCCACCTTTTTAGGATTTGGAGGATGCACTAAGTCGTATGAGACCGTGGAGAGGCGAACATGGCCAGGTGGTGTTCGACGGGTGGTCACGGATGGCACTTCCCATTCAGGCCTTCAGCATCATTGAGGTGGGCAAGCCGGCGCTGGGTGCTAGGCAGTCGTCTCGGGTGCGTGCTGACGTACGCGTCGTGTTGGCGGGTCTGCGCGAGGACGTGCAAAAGGAGTGGCAGGGCTTACGTCGCCATGATCCTGTCTTTCTTGTAACTGTTCAACCAAAGAGCCAGCTCAGGAATTGGAAGTGCGTTTTCCTTCTTTCATATCTTTTGGCTGTCTAACATGCCATCCTGATGATAATAACACGCTATTATCCAGTTGGTTCTATTGCTTTTGATTGCACACTTCTCACTTATATCTCCCTACAGAAATGCTTTGCAAGTTCACATCTCAGTGTGGTGAATTACTTGGTTTCTATGGTTGATGATGAATACATAAATTTATCGATACGATTTCCTTACCTTTTCCAGGTATAACCCACGCAAACCATTTCTTTCACAAATTGGCATTCTGGCAGTTCGCGGATGTGAAATCGAGGGTCAGGTAGATAAAGCTGGGAAGCTTATTCCTGATGAGGAGCGTTTTGGTCTAGTCCCAAGCAAAGGTTTGTGCGAGTGATTTCTTGGGCTCTAACACTAAAGTTGGCTGAAATTTCCTTATATCATTTATACAAAGCAGAAGATTTTGATGCCCCAACAACGGCTCCAACATGGCGAGTTTCTTTGGATCCTTGTCAATACCAGGAGGACATCAATCGTTTGCGAAATGAGAAAAACCGGGGAAAGGCTATTCGTGTGGAGATCGCCAGGGCGAAACGCGAAGGACGCTCGGCTGAAGCGATCGCTGTGTTAGAGAAGAGGGCTTTTGAGGCTGAATCCTCCTCGCCTGACGACATTTATGACACCTTCAATGTATTGGTGCGCAGAAAACCCAAAGAAAACAATTTCAAGGCTGTCCTTGACACAATACGGTATGTAGGATTGATTCAGTTTTGGGCCTAATTTCCTCATTTAAAGCGGATCCTGTACAACCATCAACCCCAATTTCCATGTGAAAATTGTTGTTTCTTGTTAAAGGGATCTCATGAACACCCGTTCGGTGGTGCCTGATTGGCTTTTGGATCTGCTTATGGGCTACCTTGATCCCGCAGCTGCGCATTACTCACGCCGTCCGGAATTCTATGATTCCCGACAGAACTGGTTCGACACCTTCCTTTCTGCTGACCATCTCCGCAAGTCGTTTCCACAATACAGCATTAAATTTGTCGATATGCGTTATAAGTTTCAAGAAAGCGCTACTAAAACTGAATCCACTGATTTCGGTGAGTCTGATCAATGATTTAACTCCATTATGCATCCTTTACACTTTTTTATTTCATCGTAGTAGCATTATTGGCATCCATTTGTATTCCATTCGAAGCAAGTTTTTGGGTAGATGGTTGCATAACCATTTTGTACTGCTTGTATGACTGCTAACAGCACCTTTGTTGCCTAGCTGTCGACCCGCCACCGCCCTATCGCATAACGTTCCCCCCTCTTAGCGAAGACCCGACGGCACATGTAGAGGCCCGTTTGTTGTCTGACCTTCCAACACTTGCCAGCTCTGGGCCAAAGGAGCCTTCAAGCACGACAGAGGCTTCATTGAAGCCTTTGCTCACAGCGGAGTCCTACACTCCAGTGGGGTGTCAGGTGCCCTGGCATCTCCTAACGGTGGACTGTCCGACCTGGCTGCCGAGTTCCACATCTTCGGGGGCGAAGCCTGGTAATCGGATTGCCTTTACGCCTCGCCAGGTGGAGGCCATCAGGGCGGGTATGCAGCCGGGCCTCACCATGGTAGTGGGACCACCAGGTACAGGAAAAACCGATATCGCCGTACAAACTATCCACAACCTCTACCACAATTACCCCGGTCAAAGGTAATGGTACTCAAGCGATGGCACAGGTGACTCGTACATCTCAACGTCTTCGTTTACTCTTGATGCACTATCCTCTTCTAGAATTTTGGTAGTTACCCACTCTAATCAGGCGCTTAATCAACTCTTTGAGAAAATAATCGCACTAGATATCGATGAGCGCCATCTTCTGCGTCTGGGACATGGTGAGGAGGCTCTGGCTACTACAAAGGACTTCTCTCGTTACGGTCGTGTTGACTTTATCCTGTCAAAGCGAATTGAACTCCTACAGAAGGCTAGTCTTTAGTGTTGATACTACTTGTTATCTGTCCTTCTGATTCCCAATGTACATTAAACTTCAAAAGTAAACCGTTTTTAAGATAATTGTTCTGTGATCTTTCGTATCTTTGGTAGTTGGTTTCTTCATCTCCATTCATAGTTTATTGCTGGTGTTGTATAAAATGAGAAGCTAGATTAAGTCTGAATTGTTCCCGACTCACACAGATACCTGACAAATGGTAGTTAACTTAAGTTTTGCCAACATTATGGTGGCTACTTTCTGAGAATTTTCCGATGATACAAGGGAGGAAAATATGAACGCATTATTTAATCCATAATTCCACTCTAACTTATGGAATATCTTCACTTTTCTGTTAGGTTGTACTTTTACGCAGGAGCTTAGAGCTGCCGCTGAAGGCAGACGAGAGGGACGTCAACCTCACTGTTGGAAGGAATGCGGATGTCGCTGACGTGGCCCCTGTCGCTGCTGCCAAACCGGGATCACTAACAAGGGACATTGATGAAAACACACATCAACTGTACACTTGTGAGACTGCGCAGTATTTTTTCCTACAGGATGTGCTTCCGCGATGGGAGAAATTCGTTTCCGAGGCAGCCAAATTACTGAAATATGGCGATGAAAATGACGTTTCCATGGCAGTCTTTGTGCGCAATCACTTTCCTTTCACTTCTTTCATCACCGGACAGGCTAATCCCCCGATGGATCTCGTAGAACAGATCTTCCCCGTAAGCAGTTTTCTGCGATGGCTAGTTTCTCTGAGGGCTACTTTTCATTTGCATGTGTGCTTTATGGCATCCCTCTTAAGGTCTTTTAGTTTACTTACAATTTTTAATCTGAATGACCCGACTAGTCGTTATAAGCATAAGCTTTTATGGCAGCTTTTAGTCTTAAACTTGAGCTAAAGCCGAGCCCTCATGCTTGACTTTATTCATTTACGTAGGGTCGAAGTCTGACAACGGATCTGTCAACTGCGCGTTCCTGCTTCCGAGCCATTTCAGCAATTTTTAACACGCTGGAGGAGTTCAGGGCATTCGAGTTGATGCGCACGGGCCTGGAGCGTGCTAATTTCCTCCTCACTCAGGAGGCTCGAATAGTTGCCATGACCTGCACTCACGCCGCTTTAAAACGTCGTGATCTTGTTCAACTGGGATTCACTTACGATACCATTATCATGGAGGAAGCTGCCCAAATCCTCGAAATTGAGACCTTTATTCCTCTCCTCTTACAGAATCCCGACATCTCGGGCTACAATCGGCTAAAACGGTGGATTATGATCGGTGATCACAATCAACTACCTCCTGTTGTCAAAAATCAAGTACACAATCTACCTGCACCTTACATTCTGTTTGTGTGGTGGTGCTGTATGCATCATGTGTAAATTGCTTGATTTTAGGCCTTTAATAATTTTTCTAACATGGGCCAGTCACTGTTTGCGCGTCTGGTGAAATTGGGCGTGCCCACCATCCAGCTGGACGCTCAAGGCCGAACACGACCCTCTATCTCGCGGCTGTACAGTTGGCGCTACGAGCGCCTTTTGGATATTCAACATGTTATCACTGGACAAGAGTACAAACTCTGTAATCCTGGATTCCAATACGAATACCAGCTAATCAATGTGGAGGATTATAAGGGTAAGCAAACGATATCACCTCTTGCTTTGTTTCCGATCCCTTGCCCTTGAACGAAGTTCCCCAACGCTGCTTCTATTCTTGCGGTCTGGTCTTGTGTTTGCTTTATTGCTATGTCTGTACTCCCGTTAACTTGATGGCTTCGAATTTGCATTTGATTTTCAAATGATTTAAAGGTGTTGGCGAGTCCGAACCGAGTCCATACTTTTATCAGAATTTGGCCGAAGCAGAGTATGTGGTGGCAACCTACATGTATATGCGAATACTCGGTTATCCCTCAGACCGAATAGCTATTTTGACAACCTACAATGGCCAGAAGCATCTCATTCGCGACGTCATTGAGGCGCGCTGTGCTTCCAATCCGCTTCTCGGCAAACCGCGAACGGTCACTACTGTTGACAGATTCCAGGTACGCAGCTGACGTTTCCCTCTACTTAGCCAATGACTGTTAAAATTTAACATCTGTTGCAGATTTTTAAAGCATACTCGCTATGATTTAATTTCTAATTCCGTCTCTTATTTCTTCAAGCCCATGATCCCATTATATCACGCAATGGATGAAGGAGATCCGTATATTTGGGGATACTAGTGCTTATTGTTTGTGACATTCGATCACTTTATGGGTGAATTAGGCGAAAATATGCAGAATGTGAACTCGCATATAATCTCATCAATGAAGAAAGCAAATATGGGCACTGCAACCCGTCTGCTCATCCCTCCTTAGGGTCAGCAAAACGATTATATATTGGTTTCGCTGGTGCGCACGCACACCGTGGGGCATCTGCGTGACGTGCGTCGGCTTGTGGTCGCGCTGTCACGGGCTCGTCTTGGTCTCTACATCTTTGCTCGTGTCGACCAGTTTGCCAACTGCCAAGAGCTTCGACCCGCCTTCGATCGTCTACTTGGACGACGTGGTCTCGGCCCTGGCAGCGAAGTCCGACCAACTCGTCTGCATCTTACACCCTGGGAATCTTGGAGAGTAAGTCGAAAGCTCTTTTCGTGATTTTTTCCCTCTATCTCGCTTGTTTTACGGATAACGCTTTCAAATGGGCGAAGTAAAAACTGCATAATAACAGCAAATTGGTTCTGCGATCTGAAGCGATCAGTAAAAGTGTTACCAATGGATGGGTTAACCCACCTGCTTTGTAAAATTTTCCCCCCACCCTTTAGGACCCTCGAGATCCAGCTTCCATCGACGTTCGTTCATTGGATTCCAAATTGAGCAACAGGGCCGTTGTGATTGAGGACATGCCAGCAATGGCTTCTTATGTCAGTAAACTTTATGAAGAACGTGTGAAGGATATGGTTGGGCGGTATATTGCAGCAAAAGGACCTCGCAAGCTAGGCATCCTAAAAGTTGTCCAGAAAACATCCACCGCTACAAATGTTACGGGTGTTGATGAGAGAGTCTCGGTGGAGAAAATGGAAGTTGATGAAGTTACAGAGAAAACGAGATCTGATGATGAACAGACCATTGAGACTACCATACCAAATACACTGGACTTCGAAATAAAACGTGGGACCGTAAATACGCAAGAGTAATTTTCATTGTGTATACTTGCAAATAATAAAACATTTGAAGTCTTCCCAATTTTACGTAATTTTCATCGCGGTTTCGGTGCGCCCACTTTATGTTTTATCATTAGGTGCCCGGAATGCATATCTGTTTATTAACGGCAGGTTGCCGACAGCACAAAACTCAAGGTTAGGTTTCCGGTTAAATGTCGGGGCCTTTGATAATAATTGTGTCAGGTGATTTGATTGACAGACCCAATGTTTGCAGTACTTTCCTCATCGCTTCCTGTCCTTAACCGCAGAATCCTGGGAAGGAGGAACTTAGTGGACATGGTGGTGTAGGTATAGTCTTTAGGGACCTGTACAGAACTGAGTTGCGGGGGATAGTCCTCGGAGAATTCCAGTATTTCGCTTTCACGGCATCTGATTGACCGACCACCTCTTCCCTGTAGGGGCAATTCAAACATCGTATATATTACAATTTTAGCCTGATACTAGAGTCAATTCCATTGGTATCGAAATGAACAGCCGAAGTGATTTGTTGGTACATGTAGCATGCTGCAAATAAAGCAAACTAATGCTTAGTCGCTGTAATTTTTCGAAGTGAACTCCCCTCAGAACTTTGCTAGTGGCCCAACTATGTAGTTCATTTAAACATACTCTACTCCAATATTATGTGGCAGGGTGGTAACTGTAATAATTTGTTTAAGCGACTACTTTTATGAAATGCGACCGCTTTAACGAGCTGACCAGAGCAGGCTACAGCCTCACTTCTGTTCGTTCCATCTAGATAAACGTTGTCAACAGACTCTTAAAATTCACAACCCGAAATGTCGCAGCAGAACATTGGGTGTCGATTCCATTTGACGTCACATAGGTGTAGATATTGCTTCAGATTGTGAAGTCGCCTACTATTCATGCCAATAGTCTTAAAATTTTCCATTTCGTTGATAACGTATGTGTAGGGACCACATGTCTTCCCTCTAGCCCATGGTCCTCAGATTTCAAGAGGTTGTTGGCTGCAGAGGCTTTATTAGGCATAGCCATTAGGAGGGATGGAAATGTGATACAAACGAGCAGAGTTGGGGATATCAATCATAGGGGAGCTCCTCGACGAGTTCCTGCACGTGATCCACTTAAACAAACTGGTATATATTGCAGTGTTCATTCCACAAAATTACCGAAAGGAAGGAAGTGTTAGAAAGAAACATATGAAGCATTTCCTGTATACAATGTTCTATTTGTTCTATTGTATTGTGCAAACATCTGAAAATAATTCAAATTCAAATACTTTAAAACTAGCATGCATTCCGCAGGCAATTACACAGGTACGTTTTGCTGCATTCATTCTGATTGTCTGCCTGACTACTATAACATAAGTATGTTTTATTAATTTGTGCATTATTTGCGATTCGCACCAAGTTGTTATTTCTTGGAAATGCAAAAAAGATTTGAAGTCACTACGATAGCAAAAGTGTCCACCAATTTAGTTATAGTACTCTGAACCGTTATTCGTGTAATTTGAATGGGTGCGGAATAGGTGAGCTGGTGCTTTGGGGACGGGGCAAGATGTGAGATATTTTCCTCGGTGAAGATGCCATCGGGTTCACTTATGAACATAGATTGTGATTCCGTTATAGATGGAATGTGCAGATTGCTACCCTTTACTTTTTTTCTGATCAATTTCTCTTATGGTTCTGCTTTTTCCAGAAGTCAGAAGCAACTAGAGCAAGTCAGTAGATATAATGTGGTTTAGCTTTATAGGACTCGGTTGCTTTATTCCTCTTTTGAATGACGCCTCGGTTTTGCTTATAGATTTTGCTTTATACAACGCGCTTCGCGTGCGTTAATTCAGGTTCTAGTCGAAACCTGTGGTTTTGTGCCACCTCCAAAGTTTTTTGGAAGATTATATGTTCGTTTCTACCATTTATGTCTGCACAGGCTAAATTAATATATTTGGTGTTTGACTAGTCAATTTTAACCACACTCGTGCAGTATCACTTTTTATTGACTTTTAATATGTACTATATCAGGATCCGCGATTTTATTTGGGGTGGCGATTTTAAACCAAATGCTTCAATTTTCTCGAACCGCCTGGTTGTTGCTGGTTGATAGTTTATTGTAGCAAACTGCAATATTTTCAGTAGTTGGATCAAATGTTGTGGACGTAAAACTCCGTGAACATTTTGAATTTAGTTCCTTTTAATGGCGGAGAAACGGATCTCTTCATTTCTTGCATTATTTAATACGTTTTAATGGAACGATTGGGGTTCATCTTGATCGTGTTTGGCTAGAGTGAATTTTTAGCCTCACCAAAATCATTGAGGTGTACTGGTTATTTATCTGATATTTCTGGTATCCTTTCTCCAGATGTTTTTGGAAATTGTCTTCTCGATTGTTGTGCTTCTGGCTTTGTTAAAGCACCGTTTCCATTTCCCGGATACTTCTGGACTCTGCAGCACGATGCTTGTTCTTGGTTCAGGTAATTATTTTTGACCTATTACCCTTGTTATAGGAGGTCACACAACCGAGCTGATGTCTTACGTACGCCTCCTACCTCCAGCTTATTCTCCCAGAATATACATCGTGGCTTCGAATGACAAATTAAGTCGGGACAAAGCTATGGAACTGGAAACTGCACGCCACAATAATGATGTATAATAGTTTTAGCAGCTTTTCATTTCAACTTATTAGTTCCTTATTGAAAAATTGCCTCGATCTAGGGAAGTTGGGCAGCCCTATTTCACAAGCATTTTCACTACATGCTATGCCATCGTTATCGCCACATTCTTGGTATTAAAACATCGTCCTCGGCTTGTAAGTTACTTTGATTTCACAAAAATGTCAATGCTAGTTTTTTAAACAGTAGCTTCGTTTTCACCATCCTCGCTGGGTTCACAGCATTGGTTGTATTGCTTCATATCTTTTCATAACCTTCAAATATCTTTGGTTTTTTTCCAATGCAAGTATCTTTTCGGAGGTTACTTGTTTTGAGTTGTGATTATTTTGGTGGTACTGGTTTTGTGACTTTGGCGCCAGGTGTTCACAGTTATTTGTCCTTTTTTACTTTCTTTTGTGCTTCAATAGGGCTTTCGGCATCGTTATCTATGAAATTTAATGCCCTGGATTTTTTTAAGGTACTCTGTAATGGTCCTGGAACTTGTTTTCCGATTTGTTTGGTGACCTGGGTGGTTCATAGCTTTATGCGTGGTTCAAAGGCTGTGGTTTTTGTGGAGAGTGTCTGCCGCACGCGCTCTCTATCACTCTCCGGTCGCCTGCTTTACCACTTCCACCTGGCTCGCGTTGTGGTTCAGTGGCCGTACCTGCTTAAAAAGCATCCTCGAGCGACCTATCTTGGACTTCTCTCTTAATGCTGTCTTGCCTTTGCTCTTTGAGTTTTTATTCCCTTCCATCAATTTAAAAATGTTGTTTAAAGTAAGCGTACTGCGTCACCACTCCTAAACTTTGATGCCGGCAAATAGCAGTTGTTGCCCCTTGGGCTTCAAAAGTGCCGCAAAATGTGACGATTACAGATCGGACCATATGAACCACCGTAAAGTTTAGCAGTTTCATGAGCTCGAAATGGTCATGATATGCGTGCAAGATGCTCACCATGGGCGATCATTAGTGTTCTGAATGGGTCGAGTTCGGGCGTCGAGTTGCCCTGCACCAAGATGAACTTTGCCTCCGCTAATAGGCTTGCTAGAAGTAGTCTTCAGCGTATCTTACGACGCTGTCTTATTACTTAGATCCTTCCCCTTGGGTTTTCCCTTGGATCTCTGGGAAGCTTTATTAGGCGTGTTAAGGGTTACTAAGCCAGGCAGGGCAAGGGGGGCGAATGGCGATTGTGCGTATGTTGGTGCTGTCCGCGTGGGTTGTCTTCGAGCCTCTGTGATGGGACAGGAATAGATGTTTGAGCTGTTGAGGGTCACCACTGGGCTCAGCACGTATTGTTGGACGCATTTGGATTTGAGACATTTCGGGATTGGAGCTGAGAATTTGGTGTCAATTTCCAGGGGGGTAGTGGCGCCGTCCAGTAAGTTCAGGGGTGCAGCAGTCTGCGCTATTTTGTCACATTTGGAAGGACAGGTCATTCAGGCTGCGGTGTATGGACAGCTAATCAGTGATCCGGACGAGATATGAAGTGGTTGAGTGCCGGAGGAGATTGGGCGCAAAGGAGTTAAGATCATAAACTTATGATGCGAACAATCACTTTTAGGAGTTAAATGAGCGTTGGGGCTAACGGTCTATTCCTAGACTTAAGCTTAGGGCCAAGACAAACTTGTTGGTCGACCAAACGTTAGCATTCCAATTTGCGTAATTTGCCTTTATATATCTTGCAAAAGCAGCAAAAATTACAAAAATACCATAAAATTTTTTTCAGCAAAAAAAAGCTTCTTTTGCTATGGTATCAACTGCCAACGTCAACGTGTTTTGTTTAATTCACCAATCGGCACTTTTTCGACGGTTCATCCGGTGTGCTGTTGTGAACGCTGTATTCGACATGGTGCGTGTGTTTTCTTTCTAGAAGATGAGCAGTAGTCTAAAGTAAAATACTACGATAACAATAATGGGGACACTCTTGGTTATTTTCCTGCAACATTGCATCTCTTACATTAGCTTTGAAACTTGCGCTTTGATTTTGCAGGTGAACTTCACGGTTTCGGAGATTCGCCGTTTGATGTCGAAGAACAAGAACATTCGAAATATGTCTGTGATCGCTCATGTAGATCATGGCAAATCCACACTTACTGATTCGCTTGTGTCAAAGGCTGGTATCATCGCCGAGTCGCGTGCTGGCGATGCTCGCTTCACAGACACTCGCAAGGACGAGCAGGACCGATGCATCACGATAAAGTCGACTGCTATTAGTCTTTATAATGAATTGAGTGCGGATCAGTTGGACTATGTGCGTAAAGTGCAGCCTGTTGCTAGTGACGAATCGGGGAAGGAAGAGTGTGGTTTTCTGATAAACCTTATTGATTCGCCCGGCCACGTTGACTTCAGCTCTGAAGTTACAGCCGCTTTGCGTGTGACAGATGGTGCTCTTGTCGTCGTTGATGCGGTTTCAGGTAAGTTTAGCTTAAACTATCTTGTCCTTCTTAGGTGTTTGTGTTCAGACGGAGACTGTTTTGAGACAAGCTATTGGGGAAAGAATCAAGCCTATACTTTTTATGAACAAGCTAGACAAAGCATTGAGCACCATGGGGCAAGATCCTGAGTCTTTGTATCAGCATCTTGCCAGAGTTGTTGAGAACGTTAACGTTATTGTCGCTCAATTCAGCGAGCATGATGGCCCAATGGGTGATGTTACTGTGAACCCAGGAAATGGTACCGTTGGCTTTGGTTCCGGTTTACAGAGCTGGGCCTTCACTCTGCACACTATGGCTGAATTTTATGCGAAACGTACCGGGATGGTCGCTGATAAACTCCTCCCTAGGTTGTGGGGTGACAATTTCTTTAACGCAGGCGAGAAGAAGTGGCGCAAGTCCAAAACTGGCCCCGGGGACGTGCGGGGTTTCGTGCACTTTATTCTTGATCCAATCATAAAAATCTTCAGAGCTGTTCAAGATGAGAACAAAGCCCTGACACAGAAAATGCTCACTGCGGTCGACGTGAAGTTGACCTCCGAGGAGCAGGATCAACCTGCTAAGATTTTATTAAAGACAATAATGCATAAATGGCTTCCCGCGGGTGATTGTCTTCTTGAAATGATTTGCATTCACCTTCCAAGTCCTTTTGTGTCCCAAAGATATCGCATGGAGATGCTCTACGAGGGTCCTAAGGACGACGAAGCTGCTATAGGTATAAAGAATTGCGACCCGAATGCTTGTCTCATGATGTATGTCAGTAAGATGGTTCCGACGTCTGATAAAGGTCGCTTCTACGCCTTGGGACGTGTATTCTCAGGTACAATTGCAACTGGTCAGAAAGTTCGGATTATGGGTCCAAATTATGTCTATGGCAAGAAGGATGACTGCTGTGAAAAGTCCATTCAACGTACCATTCTCATGATGGGCCGCTACACGGAGGCTATCGATGACGTCCCTTGTGGGAACATTTGCGGCCTTGTGGGTGTTGACCAATTTCTTATAAAGACTGGTACCATCACAACCTTTGCGGGCGCTCATAATATGCGTCAAATGAAATTCAGTGTTAGTCCTGTGGTTCGAGTCGCAGTTGATTGCAAAAATCCTAGTGATTTGCCGAAGTTGGTGGAGGGCCTTAAACGTTTGGCGAAGTCTGATCCTATGGTTGTCATTCAAACCGAGGAGTCTGGAGAGCATATCATTGCTGGTGCAGGTGAATTACATTTGGAAATTTGTTTGAAGGACTTGGAAGAAGACCACGCTTGTATTCCAATCAAGAAATCCGAACCTGTAGTTTCGTACAGGGAAACTGTCACTGAAGTGTCTTCTATTCAAGCTTTATCAAAGTCACCAAATAAGCATAATCGTCTTTTCTTCCGTGCGGAACCTCTAGGCGAAGATCTCGCCAAGGAAATAGACGAAAATGGAGTTAGTGCGAAGCAGGATCCAAAGGTCCGAGGTCGTATTTTGACGGAAAATTATGGCTGGGACGCTACTGATGCGCGGAAGATTTGGTGCTTTGGTCCAGATCGTACTGGACCTAATATTGTCGTTGATGTCACGAAAGGCGTGCAATATTTGAACGACATCAAGGATAGTGTTGTGGCCGCTTTCCAGTTTGTCACCATGGATGGCGTTTTATGCGATGAGAACATGCGGGGTATTCGATTCAATATTGAAGATGTGGTTCTTCACGCTGACGCAATCCATCGTGGTGGTGGTCAAATCATTCCCACTGCTCGGCGTTGCTTCTATGGTGCCTGTCTCACCGCCTCGCCAGCCATCCTCGAGCCTGTTTATGTTTGCGAAATCCAGACACCGGAGGATGCTTTGGGAGGCATTTACAGCACACTTAACAAAAAACGTGGTATTATCTTCAGTGAAGAGAATACTCCTGGTACTCCCATTTACATCGTAAAGGCATTCTTGCCTGTAAATGAGTCCTTCGGTAAGAAAGTTCTCTGTTATTTAATCACTCTTCTTAGGTTTTACGGCAGAGCTTCGTGCCGCAACTAGTGGCAAAGCTTTCCCCCAATGTCAATTTGACCATTGGCAGTTGTACTCGGGTAACCCCCTCGATCCCAACAGCAAACCTGGTGCTCTCGTTGCTAGTATTAGAAAACGTAAGGGCAAGCCTGAAGCTATCCCAAGTCTCGATAACTTTATTGACAAACTATGAGACTCAAATATAATTTTCAGGACGTACAAGTGAGTCTGTTTTTTAGTTCAGCGAAATGCCTTAAGAACTAAGACGGTTGGGTATGGTATAGCTTTAGGAGAGCCGCGAAAAGTTGGCAGTTGGATTGATAATGGAACATTAGTGGTAGCATTACGTGGTAAGCTGAGTAAATTGGAGGTCGCTCCTCTGTGCCAGGCCGTTTCACCTCGAAGCTGTGTTACCCGAAGGTTCGTGCTTGAGATTTCCAGTTTGGCTTCGGTTCGGACTTGGCGTGCTACTCATCTCACAAGGTGGTCGGATTCATTCCACGCCGTCCAGTAGGGCCTGACATCATGTATCTTTTTGTCCCGTGTGGACTCTCCTAAGACCGAGGTGGCCGCGGGAGCAAGGGCCTAAATCACGCATCCATGGCGGCCTCAGGCTGGCTGACATCATCACGTGAGTTGGTTTGAGTACAATCACGCTTTCAGCGTTGCGCCCTCAGGCCAGGTGTCAGGTCATCAGCTGAGTCATTCGGGTCGCTCCCCTTCGAATGTGATTAGGCTTTGTAAAACATGGCAGTAGCATATGGCTCAACTGAAGCGTCACAGTTTAGTTGATGTGACTGATGATTGATCTGGTTAACATATTTTTCAATAAATGCTTGGTTGTTGGTGTCTGGAGGATAAGGCAAGGATGGCGGATAGCATTTAGTTTAGTAAGAGCAGCGGTATATTCATCCAAATGGCTGGTAAAGCGCCATTAATGGTGAACACTCAAATAAGCATAATGGAAGCTTACCGAGGTGCAAAAACACTTGCCCCTTATTACCGGTTCAAAAATAGGTAAAATACGGAGGTCAGGTTACTAGTCTGACGCAATTACATCGAAGCAGGCTTGTGTGTTGGCGGTTGGCAACGCAAAAAGTGGGGAAACTGACTTGAATCTGTTCCGTACAGGTGAGCTGTTCCTCATATGTTGCGTCTCTAATTTGTCACTCCTAAGCAGCCCGGCTTCGCGCTTGGCGACACTTCCTTTCAAATCAATGTGGAGACGGAAAGTTTTTAGTATCACATTACGTACCAGTATAGTGAGATCATAAAATAGAAACGAACGTTTTACTTTCACAACGTTTTGTGTGAGATTTTAAGTGTAAGGCAAATGGTTTGAACATTCATATATCTAGCTATGAAATCGGACATTACTCAGTGCACTAGTCTTGAGGGAATCTCACAACTTCCCTATTATAGAGATGGCTAAACTTGCTAATAATTGGGAAGTTTTCTGACACATTCCGCATACAGATCATTAGCCTCTAATTCTTCACTTTAATATTATCAAAGAGTATGATTTAATCATGAATATAGGTTAAAGGAAAGTGAAGGAACCCAATCTTATTTGATAGCGTTTACAGGACAAAGGCAGGAGAACATAGGCCATCATTTGAACCCGAGCTCATGCTGCAAAGTGTGAGCGAGAGTTCGAACCTGATGGCTATCTGATGGAATTCAATAACATGATAAGAAATTGATGTAAGAAAATTTCTACTACCAATATAAAAGTAGGACCTTTTAAATATGAAATGTTCTGTGAATTGGATAGGAATTAACAACGTGGTTATAATTTCTAACCAAGTAATTAAAAAGGCATGGTGTTTGGAGAGGTAAAGAAACTGTTGCAAGTATGATATAGGGCTTAAATTTAGGCGCTATTACCTTTGAATAATAGAGAAGTTGTAATTTGGCTAATTAGCCAGAAGATGTGGGACAGCTCAGTTGAAGATGTTACTAATTTATCGTACCATTAGGCACAATGCATTAATGGACAACGGCTTCTTGTGGCTGTATTTTGCTCTTTATAAGGGTCAAAATTTTAAACACTATTATCTTGGGTGATTCTACATCAACGAAGCCTTCGAAATTGTCCGCGTTTCTTATTAAAAATTACCACAAATGTACTTTTCGCAGCGAACGTCGGCTGAAAGCGCCTAAGTATCCAGGATTTCTGAAGATCGAAAATGTCTTATGGCTTTAATAGGTTGCATTGTTTACGTCTTTTAAATTAAAGAACGAACTAGTTCTTTTTCAATCTTAAAGCTTGATTCCTGTCGTAGAAGACATTCCTAGTGGTTATTGATGCGACTAATCCTCTTACAATTGCCCCACCTTGAATAAGAGCCCCTCTAAAAGATCAAAATCGTACACTATTCATAATGATTGCATTTAGTTTCGGCAAGTCAACTTACAATAGCTGCCGTGAAACATACCGACATTATGGTTAATTTCTAAACTGGATAGGTAGATAACTGCATACACGCATATGCACTTCAGTCTTGGCTTAATAATGGGGGGAGGAACTTTCGGTTAGGCCATTGGGTGCATTTGATGTGATGACGAAAGTCTTAAAGCAAGAGCAATTTCTATGACTCCACTCCTAGCCTCAAGGCAACTTTAAGCACCATAGCACCAGCGCAGTTATAGACCGTTCAACTAGCGCAAAAACAGTGTTAATGGAACTAGACCTTTGTCTTTCCGAGAATAGAAGGTTCTGTAGTGCATAGCATTTCTTCGTCATTTCTTCCGTCATAAATTATCTCCCGAGGCTTGTGAGGTCACATAGAGAAAACTTAATGTGAGTCGGCATTACGTGTGAATTTGTCCAAAAAAGCACAACCTTATTGAGTGAGCCTAGTAATTCAATTTGCCAAATCTAGCGTGTCTAAATACATCCGTTTTTTCGCATGGAAAAAACACCCTATTTTGGAGAGGAACACGGGTTGCCAGAAAAGTAGAAGCACAACACTGGGAAGTGGACCGCTTGGAGGACAGATCGTAAAGTGAACCTTAACAAAAGCAAGCATTTTCAGCAACTCGTCGTTCAATCACAACTTGTGGTTAAGCTTTTGGATATTTGGCATTAGATTTGTGGGTGAGGGATTGAGTAAAGCATGCAAAAACGCGTTGCTGACTAGCGTGACCTATTTAAGTTGGCTAGAAACGAGGATCTTTGAAATTGGATGCTATTATGGAAGTGGAAAACCAGAAATGAATTAAAGACATGTGAATTTTTCAAAAGTCAGCTGCTTAGACGGCACGGCGTTAAAAACCTGGGACAATCACTACTTACTCCTGTTTCATCTATTTTTCATAATAACTACATTCATTTAACGATCAAGCAGGTCCAAGTGGAAAATCGGCACCTACCAAAATGAGCTCTTTGCTGTTTGCTAAAAAATGTGCACCATTTTATTCGCACAGACACCACCTTCTATTGCATTGAAGATTGTAAATGAAGTGAGGGACGCTAATGAAAGGCCACAAAGCCATAGTCTTGCCTCCAAGCCCCTTAACGCCTTCAAACACTGCACCTCTCTGGGCCTTCATACAAAAGCTCTAGCAATACTCAAGTTATCATTTCAATTCACGGAAGTCAGTTGAATATGGAGTTGATGTATGTCCCAACTCTTGGAGCTTTACCTCTAAAACAACCCAACTTGGCTACTTTTTCCTACAACTCATTATTTCGACACTGACAGCAAATCTCAGATGGCTTTTACTCCCAGCTGCCCACGATACTGAAATTTTCGAGTGAAATAAATTGTACTTAAAGTGATGAAGCTCGGCAGAACGATCTTTGCGAAGGGTAAAAATCCAAAGTGTAATGGATAACTTGACAGAGACAACTAAGCAATTAATAAATAAATCAGTCAATTAATCCAATTTCTTTGACAGCTTTCGATGGGGGCAAATAAAATCCCTTTGATTCAACTTTCCAGTTGCTGCAGCCACCCACCTTTATGCCGCCTTACTCAAAAGATAAATCCTCTTCCACGTGCTTAAGGAGGTACTCCGGCGGGCATCTCGTGATAAATTAGTTTAGCACGAAGAGGGCACAATAACAGATTTAAGGGATGATGCTGTGAGGTTGCAATAGACTGCATGATAATGGGAGAGTGAAAGAAAACCGATTTCAAATGTCTTAGACATTGTCAAAGCTCCATGTATCATCAAAGAGAGGCTTGTGCGAGTCTGCTTAAAGCTTGCTGAGTTAATACAGTCATTTGTTGTGATAAACCCAACACTGCAGCTAACACATTACTTTATGAACTACTTGCTTGAGGGTAGACATTCATCTGACGGAATCTGATGGCTAGCCGACCTCAAGCAAAAAGGACACCCCAAGTTGAAGTCTGTGAAGCAAGAACCAGTGGTAAATGACAAAGGATGTAAATGAGAAATTCCCTCTTGAATTCGTTCAGTGACTAGTCTAATGTGAGGTGTTTTCTGCTCATTGGGCTAAAGAAGGTAAGGTTTGCTTAATAAGCTAACACATTTGACTACTGTACCAGTAGACAAAGAATCAGCAGGAAGAATTTTTTGAAGCTATTTCGTTTCAGCACTGCATATTATCGAAAGACATCAATTTCGGCATGTTTAGAGGGATTCCTTT